TTGGCTTCTCTACGCTCCAGTGCAATCTTCAGAGTCTCTTCTGACATCCATTTTGGTCTTTTCTTCCTCTTCTGTCTTTGTAATGACCGTTTGCCTTACATTGAGTTTTTGTTTTTGTTTTTGTTTTGAATTTTTATATTCAGAGTTGCTTTCTTGTTAGTCTGGGGACAGTTATTTATTACTGTGATGAAATCCACATAACCCATTTGACAGTGTGGCAAGAAGCTGCCTGAAGGCACGCCATTTGAATCCACCAGCTGCTCTGCGGGAGAAGGATGGGCATTCTCCTCCTGGGCGATTAACTATCTCTGAAAACCCGCTAGAGGGTCAGCTATGGGTCGGTTCCGCCTCTATGATACACAGCAACAATAACAACAACAATATATTCTGTGTTTGCAGCCCTCAGCACCAATTCCAGAACATTTTCCTCAAACTATAAATAAACACAACTCTCCTGTCCCCTGAGACCACTATTCTGCTTCCTGTCCTTGGGCTTGCCTGTGCTGGACATTGTAGACAGATGGGCCATTGTGTGCTGGCCCCTTAGGGCTTGTCACTTTTCTCAGGCTCCTCCTTATTTGAGTCTGTGATTATGCATGTTAACATACACACACACATGCAGTTGGTAGGTGCCGTCAATGACTCCACTCTAACAAACCCACCCCTTCTATACAACAAAGCAAGACCCTGCCCCACTCTCCCACACTGCCCACCCCACCCCACCATGCCCACCCTGCCTCATTCCACCTGATATGTCCCCATCCCACCCCATCTCTCCCCATCCTGCCCCACCCTGCCCTACCCTGCCCCATCCTACCCTATCCTATGCTATTCTGCTGCATCCCACCTCATTTCTCCCCTCCCCACCCCACCTTGCCCCATGCCGTCCCATCTCTCCCCATGCGGCCCCACTGTGCCCCATCCCGTCCCATCCCTCCTCACCCTACCTCATCTCTTCCCTGCCTCACTCCTCCCCACCTTGCTCTCAGGGCCTGTTCTCCCAGGCCCTGCTCTTGGGGCCTGCTCCTGAGGCCTGCTCTTTCACGAGCCTATTGCGGTCCCTATGCCAGTGCATCTCTTTAAAGTCTTCTTTTCTTTTGCTGGCTCTCTACTAAGCACAATGACCTCCAAAGACTGGTACTACCTGATAACATGTCCAGTGTTTGAAGAGAAGTCTCACCATTCTTGCTTCTCAGGCTGAGCTTCTTCCAAAGTGAATTTGTCCTTCTGGGAGTCCATGGTATATTGAGTCCTATTCACCAGCACAACAGTTGAAAATCACTGATGATCTTGCCATCTTCTGTCTTTCATGTGCATATGAAACAATTGAAAGTCCTATGACTTGGCTTGAACATACTTTATCTTTAAAGTGACATCCTTGCTCCTTAGTAAGTGGAATCCTTGCTCCTTAGTGCTTTAAAGAGGTCTTTGGCAGCAATATAGCATTTGAATTTTCAACTACTATTTTCATGGATATTGACTGTTGAGAGACAGACATGAACAAGTGAGCACCACAACACGAGAATGTGGTTTAAAAAGGATGGGAGACTTCTGGTGCCTGCATGTTCAGGAGGAAGCAAGTGCTGGGCACAGGAACAGTGACCTCGCATAAGGCATGGCCCATCCAGGGCTGTAGTGCCCATACCTCACCCAGAGAACCCATGTGGGAGGTACCTGCCATGTGCTTCTTAATGTGAGACCCCAGTAATAATGATCCTGCCCTGGCCATCACTCAGGTTTCTGTGCTGTCCCTGACCGCTTATCCTGCTTCCGCACATTCCTAACTTCCAGGGGTCTGCCTTGCTACCCCTCCACAAACCCTGTGGGTCTGGACCAGTCCCCTTGGGATGGCTTTCTGAGCATGGCCAGGAGGGACAGACATACACCACCTGTCTGTTTCAGGAGGACATAGCAAAGCTGTTGCGTTATGAGTCATCAGCCCTGCCTGCTGGGCAGCTGACCAGCCTGGTGGACTATGGGAGTCGCATGCAAGCTGGCTCCCGCAACATCTACTACCTGTGCGCACCCAGCCGCCTCTTGGCTGAGCATTCACCCTACTACGAAGCCATGAAGCAGAAAAACATGGAGGTGAGTGGGTGCCAGGACTGGCCACTCGGGGCAGCTGAGGAAGACAGCTCTCCAAGGGGAGGATCTAGGGTCTCCACACTCTGCTCCCAGGGGCAGCTGAGGCAGAGAGTCCACAGGCAGAGACCTTGCTGGATTCTCACTTGGATGAGATACAGATTACTCTGTGGGCAGTAATGTTGGGTTATCTGCTAAGGTGACCGTGAGACCTGACCTCCCATCATCCGCAGGTTCTCTTCTGCTACGAGCAATTTGATGAGCTCACCTTGCTCCACCTTCAGGAGTTTGACAAGAAGAAGCTCATCTCTGTGGAGACTGACATTGTTGTTGATCACTACAAGGAGGAGAAGTTTGAGGACACAGCCCCAGGTTTTCACACCCCCAGATGGTGACCTCTTGTTTACATGTGGCAGCTTTAGTTGTGTTTAGGACCCGCACTGGTTTAATATAAGAAAAGGCTACCGGTCTGGACTTGGTTTCCTCCGTGCCAGCTGATGTGTCCTCCAAAGAGCACCACAAACGGCCTTGTGTGGCCAGGGTAGCCAGGCATCTCCCAGGGGCCACTCCTCAGCTTCATTTGGCATCAGAAACATCTGAGTGGTTTTGTCTCTGTTTGGCACTTGATGGGAATGCAGGAGAGAGATTTGTGTCCAGGCAGGGACACTTCAAGCCCCACCCCATGGTCACTGTGGTTGGGTGCAGGAGACACCACACACACACACACACACACACCACACACACCACACACACACACACACACACA